CGTTACAAATCAGTCCCAGGAGTGCTGACGTTTTTTTAAAACAGCATCTGGCAGTGAGAAATTCCAAAAAGCCGCATGAATCACCACTAAACAGGCCAAGGCAAGTAAGCATTTTCACGTGACTGTGCACGAGATGGAGTGCGCGATGTGGAGCACCTGTGGTGGACGCTGAGGCACTGGTGGGATCGTTGTCATGGCAACCGCGGTGGCAAGAGAAGCCAGGGAACGGCAGCAAACTTTCCGTCCCGCCGGCGTCCTCTGTTCCGTCCACTATTCTGCACGGAGGAAATAATGTGTGAGCGTAATCGCGGCAGGCTGAGGTGTGAGCTGTCAAAAAAAGAAAAACTCTCGCAGCTTTCATTTCAGCAAGTGAAAACTTGAACTTTCGGTTCCTTTCTTCATCTTCACAGCCGTGGCTGCAGGGGAGCATCTTCCTTGACCTTAAAAACAATTGCTCCTCGTTCACCATTGTAGGAATCTCATTTTGGCTTTTGCTGTGACTTTCCTCGGCACTTTGACGTGAACCGAAGCAAGACAGCCACTGCCTTTCATTTTCTTTTCCTGTCGCTCATCAATGGGGGGGGGGGATGTCTGTTGCATGATGATAAATTGCTGAGCACAGACTATAAACATCATTGTCTCTCTTGGTCGCAACAACAAAATGGTTTGCCCAAAGCTGTGCCTTCAATTTCTGGCTGTGGCAATCGATAGGACCAAGGTGGGGTACCACACTCCACCGCCTCAGTCCGGCTGACTTTCGGGAAAGTCGGCGCCATTTTCGGGAGCATCGTCATTTGTAAACAGCTCTCGAAAAAAAATACAATAAAACTCATGTCTGATTTGAGTGACAAACAAAATCGTATTCAATTCTCATGAGAGCGCATTCTGAAAGCCTCCGATTTTATCGCAATTCAAACTCACCTGGGGCTCAGGTCGGAAGGGCTTAGAGTGACCGGTGTAATACCCGGGCTCATCCCGCGAGACTTTTCAGAGCTCCGTTCTGCGCTTCCACGATTGGCTTGGCCCATTGGAGTCGACCCAGCGGCGCCCCTGAGGGTCACCGCTCTGTTCTGCTCCGATGACAAACAATCATCATCTTCCCTCATGTCCCTGTCATGTGCCCCCCGGGCCTCGGCGAGAGGCGCACAACCCTGAACAAGTCGCCCATTCCTTTTCACACCTGGCTGGGAACGGAGGGAAACAATCAAGTCACGTCATGACCTTCATTTCGGAATATTTAAAAAAATAAAATAAAAAATAGTCACTTTCACGATGCGGAATCCGATTTGATTGATTTCATGGGAAATGTGTGAAGACATGAATCCATTTTGAATCGCATCAACCTGCGCTAGTGACCTCTAAGCGCATGTCGATGCACAGAGGAGACAAAGAAGTGCATATCAAAATGATAATTCAACCCCGGGAGAAAATGCTGACACTTGTGTCCTGTTTCGTTTGCATGAGTAGCACATTTTGATGAAGCCTCCGGTACTGTAATCAGGGGTTATGCTCAAGACCCAAATATTGATTGACCCAACACTCTGTGAGAAAAGAAAAAAAAAAAAACGGTCCAAGCACAAAGTTCAAGAATGCTTCATTGATTTTTTTTTTCCTTACTTTATTAAAGTGAAGGTGCAGCCTGAGTGCTAATTGACCCAACATCGCATGAACAAAGTCATTTCCCCCCTCGCCATTATTTGTGGTGTGGTACCTGAGGATCAAGAGCTGCTGTGGAGAGTCGAGCCTTCACCTGGAAGACAGCCAAAGAGGGGAAATGTGCCTTTCAAGAAAAAAAGAAAAAAAAAAAGAGCAATCAGCCAGTATCTGCCTGCTCTCTTCGTTGGCTACATCAATAAGCGAGCAACGTGATGTGGCCAAAAGTCTCGGCACACGCCTCTTATCAGTTAATTCATCCGCCTCTAAAACAGATCCTCCCCCGATATCTCAATTCAATCTTGCGCTTCTAACTTTGTGAGAAGACAACACAACCGCCGCCTCATTTAAACTTCTACCCGACTTGTCATACTTGATTCGCTGCAAAAGCTTCCCCTCAAAAATCCCTTTGTTAGCGTTGAGGAAGCGGGCCGGCGTTGAGCGTACGCAACGAAACTCTCTCACCCGGCTGTAATGACAGGAGCCGAATTTTCAGCTGTCCATCAACTGTCACGCGTTTACCGTGTGCGACGTTGGGATGAGAACCAAAAACATAATCGGAACTGTAGTTTTATGCAGAGTATTGTTTTGAGAGGAAAATGTCAGGGTGACACATTTAACCCTTTCAAGGACTGCGGTTACTACAGTGGACAGCTTGTCATGTTATCAGGTTACAGGGTGCATGAAAGGGTCCAGGCGGTTTTGATTCAAATTGACGACAACAACAAGCCGCATACTTCGTCTCCGCCCATGACTCGGCAGCTAGGCCGGGTGAAGATCTGCCACGTTCAAGACGGTTGCCCGACAGACGCATGATTCGCTTCAAAGACGAAAGGTAGGGCAGAGCTGCGGCTTGAGCGTCGATGACACAACGGGGTTGCTAGCGTTAGCTTTTGAGAAAAGGCACAAATATTTTCAAGAAAAATACTTTTGCATTTCGTCTTTGGGAGGGGTTTGTTTTCAAAGCGCGCATCTTTTTTTTTTTCATGAGTTTACAATATTATCCAATGTACTTTTTTGGGGGAAATACACCCCTGCCTCATTTTTTTTTTAAATGAACATTTGGGCCTACTACACCGCTGTATTTTAATGTTGGTCATTATGGCGGTGCTTGGAATTTTCACGTTGAATTCAATTGTGGTTCCTTGGCCCTATAAAAGGGCTCCAAAACCATTTTCTACCCATTCCCACACGTCCAATCCTCCAACATTGAATTCGGTATCAATCGGCATGACTCACATGTGACTCTTGTCCCTCCCTCAGGTTGTAGGTGAGATCCTGCTGGATGTCCTGCACAAAATGATGCGAGTACTCCGGGTAGAGATCCAGCACCTCGTACAGACCCTTCAAGTTAATACACTGCAGGTCGCAGTAGGTCAGCGCTTTCACATCCGCGTTGGTTTTGATCACTCGGTCGTCTAAGGAGAGGTTGGCTCCAATCAGATCTCCTTTACCTTGCTCATTGGACACACAGATGGGGCATATCAGATGAAGGGAAATTGCAGGAGGTGTCAAAGAAGCCAGAAACAACAACAATAATACACCAACAAATCTTTGATCGCACCTCCCCCCCGCCCCGCCCAAAAAAAAATCCTCACGCTCCTCGAAGACATTTTTCACGTATTCCTCTTTCCAATCTTCTCCAATTTTTACTTCCTCTCTAATGCTTTCCAAGTTCTGTCCTCGATTGACTTTGTTATGCCGCAATCAAGTTATCCTCACCCAGGAGGGAATCAACACACACACACACACACACACACACACACACACACACACACACACACACACACACACACACACACGTCACGCATAATAAACAATATTCTTCTTGATTCAAGGCGAGATGTTGTTCCTCGCAGATGTTTGTGGATGGAAATACTCATCCTGGGAATCAGGTTGGTTTAAATTGCGTTTCGGGTTAGCTCTGTGACTTACGGAGAATTACACCGCTTCTCTCTACAAAAAAAAAAAAAAAATTTCACTTGACTGTTACTCTGAAGTAGAAAACTGTAGGTTAACTCAATTTAAAAAATATATGAAACTTAGATGGTGGATTAGAAACTGACTGAGAGCAGGAACAATAAAGGATCACTTGGAACAGTTCATTATTTTGTGCCACATAACGCGTTTTAATGCATCTCCTAGTTAGCTTTTCCTCTCATTAAAGCTTCCATAAATGGTTTTGATAAAAATACACTCAGCTCTTAATTACTTTAGGCACCTTATTTTTTTTCGCAGAGTTGCATCTTTGCCAAAAGTTCTCAGCTCCTTAATGAGACGTCGCCATTTTATCGCAAACTCATCTGCGTCGTGTTTCATCACCGCCTAAGCGATGTAAACATAACCAGTACGCGTTCGAACAAATGGACCGGATATGACGGATTTGAATGTGACTCCAGTTAGCTGGACAAGACGAAATGACGTGGGCAGCATATGGAGAGGACTCAAGTACATTGACTTTCAAATAGATTCCATCAGGACGCGCAGGTGGGAACTGAATGATCTTGCAAGCGCCCAATTAAATCGCCAATGGACACCGCCATACTCTTTTCAGTGGTTAAATCCTGCACATCAAGTAAACCGTGGCAAAAAAAAAAAAAATATGACAATGAGCAGGTCCTCATGTGGATTTTACAGCCAAAGTATGTGTGTGGGGGGGGGGGGGCAGGGGGGAAGACATCTGATGAAATGCAATTGCATGGGAGCCTTCTCCAAACAAGAGGCTCATTTAAACGGAACCAACTTTTGACCGGCGAGGCTCTCAGAGCTTCATTATCAAAACTGCTGCGGCAACTTTATCCCCCGCCCACCTCGACTCCTACTAAAGGCACGAGGGGGAGTCGTATCATATTTTGCGCATCATAGAATATAAACATGGTGTAACTGACCGAGAATTGCCAACACCATGCCATCCTTCAGGACCTCCATGCTACCGGAGCACACGAAGAAGATGGCCTGCAGGGCGTCGCCCTCCCGGAGGAGATACTCTCCGGGAGCACAGAAGGTGGTCTTGATGTGCAGCGACAGAGAGCGCAGGCAGCCCCGGCTGGCTGAGGCGAAGAGTGACAATTCCAGGATCTCTTTGTTGAGGTGCATGGTGATGTCGGAGCGGAGCTCATCCGGGAAGTCCTTCAGCAGCTGGGAAGACCACGAGAAGCAGTCGTGAAAGTTGGAGTGGATGCTTCAATTCGGGGCAACATCAACTTGTCACCTGGACAATTTTCCAGTACGACAAAATGTTATCATTAGAAGTACCGTATTTTCCACACTATAAGGCGCTTTGGCGTATAAGGCGCACCTTCAATGAATGGCCTATTTTAAAACAGTTTTCACATTGAGGGCGCACCGCATTATATGGCGCATGGAATAGAAGCCACAATAGTGGCTGTGGTTGGCTTATGTATCCACTAGATGGAGCTTCGCTAAAGGGAATACAATACAATACAGCTTTGACAATCGGCTATAACAAAGCGCTTTACAGAACATCGCTATTTAAAATCGGATATTCAGTTTCAATTAATCTCGCCTTTTATTATTTATCATTTTATTTGTGGTTTTATTGTTCTGGTTCTGATTGTAAAGTGTCCTTGAGTGTTTTGAAAGGCTCTTATAAATGAAATGTAGTATTATTATTATTATTATAACATTTAAAATGCTACATCCAAGAAATCAGAATATTGATCCATATATAAGGCGCATCGGATTATAAGGCGTATTGTCGACGTTTGAAAAAAATAGAATGCGTTTAAGTGCGCCTTATAGTGCGGAAAATACGGTAGTAGTAGTAGTACATTCTTCCATGCAGGTCATGAATGAACAATGGCACATTGTTGCCACACACATCAAATAGAATTCCAAACTATCTGCGATAAGCTTTTAAAAATGTTCAACATATGAATGAGCTGCATGTCCGTCTTCCCCTCCTTGTCAGGACTACAATCTGGAGCTCGACAACCCCCACCATAAGACTGATCAATGTCCCATCAGGGCCAAGCCGACTGTAATCAAGAAGCTCATCTTTAATTCATCTGTCTGAGATTCATCAGGATCGCTCCGTCTCGGCGTCGCGGCGCCAGGGTGACAGCTGTCTCACACGGCCCTTCGCCGCTGCCTGCCTCAACTCTTCCAGGCTCGGCTCAAGGTGGCAATGAGACACTGTTCCTCGTAAATTCATCTCGCCTATCAAAATATGTCCTTAAGTAACCTCTGTAACGGCACTCCATCTCGACGAAAACAATTTAGAGCCCACCAATTCAAATTCAACTATTTAGCGGATGGTGACAGGTTGAAGAATCGGCTTTTTCAAATTACAAAACTGTTCAACCTAACACCCCCCAAATAAAATGAAAAAAAAAAAAAAAAAACAGAAAATACATACAAGGAGGACAAAACTTGATATAAGTTTATCATGCTTGGCTTGCCCAAGCGATGGAACTTGTTTCTCTGCAATTCCCTTTGACCAACCAAAGGAGATGGGACCTCTTTTGTTTGTACCTCATTACAGTCGATGCCGTTGTTGACTGACCAGGTTGTCTGAAAATACTCCAGCATTCGCTGCTTCAGGCCGTGCGGCAGATGATGCACTCGTATAAAGTCCTTGAGGTCTTTGGTCCTGGTGTGATACTGCGACCAGCGGGAGTACATCCTCTGGATTATGGCTGTCACATTGCCAAAGACCAATGCGTGCATCAGCGCTGCGGGAGGAAGAGAGGTGGGGAAAAAAAAATGGATGCATTTGATTGCGGCATGTGTATGGAAAAGTGAGTGCGGGTGACGGCGGAAGCCTCCTGGCGCTTGAGAACATTTAACATTTTGCAGGAGTAAGGGAGAAAACGTCCACAGGAGAAAACCCCCGCCGCGGTGACCTCTTTCCGCCCTCTAAATGCAAACGGCAGGTCAACAAGCCGAAAGTGGATCAGACTGACCCAATTCGATCGACTTGATTAATGTACCTGCAAAATTTTCGACACGCGGCGCGGAATTGTGCAGTTTCAGCGCCTTAGAGTCTCCATTCACAAATTCTACACCCACAACAAAATCTACAATATAATTGTATCGGTGTGTCCTCCGCGTACCTCCTATGAGCATGACGCAAATGGAAAAGATTTTCTCCACGTCCGTGTTGGCCGACACGTTGCCGAAGCCCACGCTGGTGAGGCTGCTGAGGGTGAAATACAGAGAGGCGACGTAAACGCTGCGGATGGCGGGCCCGCTGGTGGTGGCGGTGGTGTTGGCGCTTCCGATGGGGTAGTACGGCGACTCGAGACGCTTTGCCAGCTCGTGGAGCCACCCTGGTGAGATGATGTCATGGGGCGGAAAAGAAAACAGACACGTTGATATTTATATTTCCGGTGAAGGCTTCTTCACTTGTGCTGTTGCGTTTTGTTGTTGTTGTTGTTGTTTTTTTTATGCTAGAAATGCTTTGCAACATGTTCATAACCAGCTATTGTTCTAAATATTCAATAGCCTTGCTAATTCACAGTGTTGTCTCCCCCCTGGAAGCAATTCATTTCAGTTTCCCCTCTTCTCTTGGACTTACACAAACGACCGCGGGAGAGAAATCTAAAATCCACACAAATGACATTGACTCTATTTCCTCAATTGCTATGCCGCCGTCAAATGACATAGAATACAAATATCGTTAGTTTACCAATGTCGCCTTTCGAGAAGATTTCGATTTTGCTGTGTAAAATATCTTATTCAACTTCAAAGTAGTGGTGACTTTCGTTGTTGTCGCAATGTTCTTTTTGTAGTCACCGGAAAAGAACTGGTTACCGTATATGCCGCACGATAAGGGGCTTCGGAGTATAAGGCGCACCTTCAGAAAATGGCCTCTTTTATAACTGTTTTCATATATTGGGCACACCGCCCAACATATGAAAACGTGGCTGCGGTTGCATTATGCATCCACTAGATGGAGCTACACTAAAAGGAATACAATACAACTTTATAGAGAGCCTTCACAACCGTGGCAGCTGCAACAAAGCGCTGATCAGAACATTTAAAATACTACATGTAAGAAATCAGAATATTGATCCATATATAAGGCGCATCGGATTATAAGGCAAACTGTCAGATTTTGAGAAAATGGAATGCTCTTTGGTGTGCCTTATAGTGCGGAAAATACGGGAACCAACACCGTTTCGCTGCTTGCGCAGAATCGTTTTCACTATTCTCCCCCCGGCCCTCCACACAGGATGCTCAGTAGTGTAAAGCCCGTCAAGACAGAGAAAGCCCAAAGTGGCAAAAAGCTCCTTTGCTAAATATAAAACAATGGATTGAAACCAAAGCATATCAGATGTTATGGAAGCAGAACTAATCCCCGGTCAAGCCGGAGTGAAGACATGCAGCTGATCCCTGGAGAGACTCCTGCAGACACTGATGAATGGTAATTGGATCGAAGCAACTTCACAGCCGCTTGACTTCCAACGCGCATTCGGCATCCAAAATGCATAATTAGGATACAACACATTCATCCTGCCTCCTGTTTTTTTATTTTTGTTTTTTTCTTTATGACACCGAGAGGCAGTAATTGGTCAAGAGGAATCGGCGTCATTCTCTCGGCCCGGCCAATGCTGACCCGGAACCGCTTGCGAGGACAACAGTGAGAGGTAATTACGAGTGGCGCAGTTCATCAATACTGACGAGAGATCAGCCCGGGGGTTCTCATTATATGAGGGACCTGCGTACTGGAGGGAAAGCTTCGGGTTGAATCCGAAATGATCGACGGAATCACACCATTCGCTCACTTGTATCCCACAATCACCTGTCTCCACAAAACACAGGAATCGATAAAAATGATGATTCATCATCATTTAAATGTAGATGCTTTAAAAAAAAAACACCATTTGTTGCATTTATTTCTCGATGCCCTTATATGGGTTCATGATAACATTGTGTTTCCACCCAAAACCAGTATGACTATATTTTTAACACGGTATTTTCAAATGCAACCCCTTAAGAAACAAACGCACACGCTGGTCAAGACACGTCGACGTCAAGAGAGATGACGCAAGTTGATGTTTTTGTAGGGGGGGGCCCCCCCAAGTGACGGCCGAGAAGAATCTGAAATTCAAATGTTGCCATTTTCAAATTTTGCCATTGCTCACCGATATCCCAGTTGTAGGAGTTGGCCTCCATTTCCATTTTCCCGATGATGTACCAGATGCAGGCCATCCAATGGGCCAGCAGGGCGAACATGGACATGAGCAGGGTCAGCACCACGGTGCTGTGCTGCGAGTAGCGGTCCATTTTCTGGAGGAGGCGAAGCAAACGCAGCAGGCGCACCGTTTTTAACAAGTGCACCACAGACACCTGGTGGAAAGAGACAAAACGAGGTGGGATTAAAATCATACGTTTTGCAGATTGCAGTCGTTTGTTGCGATGGAGTGGGCTGTCGGGACAAGGGTGATCGGTAACCCTTCGCATCGAAGCCGCACGGTACGTTGCAAGTATATTTGCGCGTACGGGCACCTGAGTGGGGAATATGAGAAAGTGGGACATAAATGCTATCGAAGGCACACCTGCATAATGTTGCCATCTATCATCACCAGGCATCCCACCTATGGCGAAAGGCCCACTCTCGTCCACCAGGAAGCCGCGGAAGCGTACCTACGTTGTGCCTTTCTCCATCAGCCATATCCCCGCCTTCCTCTCACCCGTGTCAGCCCTCTCCAAATCTCCTCTCGCCACTCGATTGCTCACCATTTCTCGGTGGTATTTGTGCGCCAGTGTCATTTTTAACAACAAGGCTCATTTATACGCCACCTGCCGGCAGCAATGTGTCCACCCCTTCCCAACCCTCCCCACGAGCTATAACCTGAGCAGTCTTGTTTATTTTCAATTCCTTTACAGATACCCCACTCCATACATTTATTAGTGCGGTATTCATTTACGGTTTTCATCGGGTCTTATACTGCCCCCAGGTGGCCAGAGCACGCACACCAGAGGGAGCCTTACAAAGTGCATTGAATAGAAGCATTAAGTGTGCCAAAAATGGTTCAGTTATTGTAAATACGATTTAATTATGTCACCACTGCATAATTTTCGAAAAGTCCAATATCACAGAAATTGAAAAAAAAAAAAACATGACACATTTTCGGTTCTGTTCAGATTTATGGCATGTTAATTAAGGCATCATTGTACTCTATTGTAGGCTGCTACCTCATGAGCGTGTTAGTGAGACGGCTTTCGGGTGAACACCTGAAGATACAGAGAATCCCGCGAGTGAAAGTAAACGGCATCGTCAAGCAAAGTATCAGTTGGCGGGGGTCAAGGGGTGCACCTCCACCTAATTGCTCCACCGTCGCGCTTCCCCCCCTTGCACTGCGCTCTCCTTAAAGCGCGTCTCGCGCTCGAGTCAAGCTGTGCAGAAAAAGTTTTAATGACGCAATAAAGTACGATTGAAAGCCTCTGTGCGTGCAATCGATAGAGAGAATCAAAGAGGCAGCGGAGCAGCAATGGGAACGATCCGCGTGAAGGTGCTGTAGAGGAATGTCGGATGGGCTTCCCCATCCAAACGCATGTCGACGGGATTCGTTAGGGCCTCTGTTGGGCAAGACATCGATCATCGGGTTTTGACATCATCTATTGTTAAGGTGCCTTAAAAAAACGTAAGCAACGGGGGTTGAGCACAAGAGCCCAGAGGCTACTCACCACGCTGACTTTGAAGGCATAGAGCAGGTCAAAGGGCAAGGCGGCCACCAGGTCAATGATGAACCAGGTGGTCAGGTAGTGAAAGCAAATCTGCCGAGCGTCAAAGATCACTTGGCCTGACTTGCTGACGTAGGTGGTGCGGAAATTGAAGACAATATCTGCAGGAAATTTTTTAGATTTTTGGAATCCATAACAACTACATTCACAGAATGCCGACCTGGGGCTAAATATTTCAACATGCTGAAACATTTGTTATTTGTGTAATCGATGAGTGACAAGTTTTTTGTTTTTTTTTTTGCACCGTAAAGGACAAATATGGATTTCTTTCAATTTTTCATTCTTCAACGTGTACATTCTCATCCAAATTTGATGAAAGCGCTAAGTCCCAAAGCCACACGAATGAAAACATGAGCTCCCAGGTGGAGGTTTGTGACGCACCCAAGATGAAGAGAATCTCCACGGCGATGTCACTGACGGTCGTGCTGCGGGTGAGGTCGTCGTCGTCGCCGATGAAGCAGACGTTGTACGGCACAGTCACGGCCACGTAGAAAGTGGCGAGCAGGATCAGCCAGTCCCAGCCGGCCTTGCATGTGCTATAATGCAGCAGGATGAATTTGGACTTTTTGGCATCTGCTACCTTGTACTCTGGAAGGGCAGGAGGGTCGCCAAACACATTCTGGAAAAGACACAAAGAAATAAAATATCAACTTAGAACAGAAACAAAATACAATCACAATTCACGCTGGATATGTTTTGAATGTAGAAAGGATACCAAACCATCTAATTTCATCCAACCAATGTCTGTTAGCTTAATGCTAACATATAACGCAGAACACAATTTTTCTTTTTTAAATTATTGTTAGCACCACAGTACGCGCTGTTCTGTTTTAAAAGTAAGCATGTAGGGAGGATACCAAACCACGGCATTACCATCTAAAGTAAGTCTGCTAGCTTAATGCTAACACAAAATAGCAAACGGAAATTAGCATCGATGTTGCGGTAATTTTGGACCTTTAAACAACTACTACTTGAACACACAGAGCATAAAACAATACACACGGGAATATACAATATTTTCTTCATATTTCCTTCTCTGTCCCAACTTCTTGTGATTAATTTTGTTGGCTTTTGAGCGTTTATCCATAAATGGTAGACGCTTAAAAATTGGTGACATAGCGGCACCGCAGAGGATGAACCGCAAAATAGTTGTTTATTGTAGCGTGTAAACTGTGTGTGCTCGCATCAGGTTTGCTTTCCAGACATTTTATTATATCACCACCTGTCTGGTGGTCTCAAGTATTGTTTTTTTTTTTTTTTTTTTTTTGGACGATATACCTTATTGAGCTTAATTTTGCTCTTCTTTCTGCTGTGGAGGTGCCCCGAGACGTGGTAGAGCACGGCGCTGCTCCGCATTCGAGCTGAGCTGAACGGAGAGCTTGTTCTGATCCTGCCACGCCGTCGCTCTGCAAACACACATTGAAGTGTCCAAAATGAACAGAATTGATGAGTTTCGTCACATCGTAATTACCGTTTTTTTCCGCACTATAAGGGGCATCGAAAAGCAGCTTGAGCAGTACATAGTGTATACATTCTAGGCCAATAGCGGTGGAGTGCTAGAGACGTTAGCACTGTTGGCTAGTTATGAGAAGTGGAATTCAAGGTTAAAAAAAAAAAAAAATCTTATAAGCTTTCAGGGGAGCCGCATAAATGTGCAGATTTGGATTCATTGCGATTACTCTGCCAAAAAGGTATTGATCGATGAAGACGTTCTGCGTTAGCAGTTCAACCACGATGGATGTGTTCTGGTCAATCTGGGCTATTGAAGCCATTTGGTGCACGAGTGTGTCGCCGTCGTAGTGCGCGGGATGGATGGCGTGATGCGCTGAGAGTGGAACTCGGATAATAGACGGAAGCGTTATTGCCGGCGCGCTCTCAACGAACTGGAATGGACTAAGTCCAGATTGGCTTGAGGGCAGATAAAGGCAATAACAAAGCCAGCGCTGAAGAACCGAAGTGCTAACTGCTTTTGAGTGTCCTCGTGGAAAGCGCGCGCATTTTCTGGTGCGCCGGCGAGTGCCGGCAGACCCCCAGATGAGGGGAACAGACAGGGCCCATCCATAAAGAGGCAGCGCCTTGGGGGACACGACACGGCAGGAGTGTGAGATGGAGAAATTATTTTATTTTTAGACCTAATGAATATCCCTTTGCTGTTAGAACCATCCGTGTGAGGGGGATGGGGAAGGAGGGGGTCCATAGGTGCTGCGGGAAAACATACGAGCTGGAGGACGGAAGCATACGTTGTTTCCCACTGCAAATTAGCAACAGATTTCTTTTTTTTTTTTGGAGGGGGCGGGGTAGAGAATCATGACGCAACCCACAAGATCATCAATTTTGCGCTACTTTGCAATTGGGCGGGAAAAAGCCCATCGCCGCGACTTTTACAAACAGAACACCAAAGTGCAAACATTTCTTACCGCTCATATTCTCATTTCAATGAGCTTGTCACCCGCCAAGTCACGCCAGTGGGCCGTTTGTCTAAATCTGGAGGGGCTTGCTGTATCAGCCACTTTCATTTTAGGTTGAAAAGCTTTTCATCAGGGGAGCAAAAAATAACTTTGCTTTGCGGTGATGCTTCCTGCTCTGCCTTATTTACGGTAATGAGCACAATTATGCACGCAGACACACACACACACACACACACACACTGACCTGCTGCGTGCATAAATTTAGCTCAATGTCATTCATGCAATCCAAAGTGACTTTGGCCAAAGATTGTCTTTTCTTCAAAACGGATCAAGGTTAACAGATGGAAAAGTTCGAGGGACAAAAATGATTTTATTATATATATAAAAAAAAAAAAAACACAATGCACTTCTTGGGCAGGCTCTGGAGAACCTTATCCAAGGTTCCAACCTTATCCATTTTCCCTTGAACCCGTTCAGCGGTGGTAAAAGAGCACCCCCCCCCCCTCCTGAATGCATTCTCACTGACCTTCTTTCTTGTCCTCTTGGATGCTTTTGGCTTTAACGTCAGTGATGTTCTTGAACGAAGCCAGAAAGAGCACCACGTCCCCCTTTTCATTCTTAATTGGCACAATGTCCAACAGACACCAGAAGAGCACCCCTGAAAAGAAAAACATTCCGATGAACACATTTCTTGACCACCTTTTATTGAAAGCGGGTACATGGCGTTGTGCTGTAAAATGCACGTGTGCGAGTGGCTCAGACCTGAGCGAGGGTAAACGGTTCGGAAAACGGATGGGTGGAATTGAATTGTTATGAAACAACTATTTTCGATGTACTAACTTTGTTACTGAAAAATCGCAGCCACAACGGAGTCATACGTTAGCACGAGCGCTGGTTACATCTTCATACTTTGTCGCTTCGGTTTCGAGTGCGGAGCACACAAGGCGCCAAAACTCAAC